GCACCCATACGAGCCCATCAAATGATAGCTCACAGGGCACTCAGGCTTAGCGCAAGTAATCCATCCTTGGAGTACACGATCAAGTTTCCGAACAATTCTCGCAACAAACCCAGCGAGTGTCTGATCAATATACTTTGTAGAGCACGTGCATGATTCTCAGTTTGCAACACGCATACCAGCTAACAACTTTCCAAGCTTAGCAGCTTCCATGAGCTCACTATGCGTGTAAACAGCCATAAAATATTATTTATGGAGAGCGAAGAGCCTACGTTTGACACTTTTTACTATTCAGCGAATCGAGCCAAAATATAAATATATATATATATCATAAAGTGTTTACAGCGTAAGGTTTATTGTGCAGAGCGGACCCATTGCACCTTGGCAGCCCGGTGACTACGAAGCATTGGCAGCAAGCACAGCTCAAGACCGTCAACACTGCCTCGGTAGTGTTCAGCCTTGAGAATGTTAGCAAGCCTAGCCGGTCCTGTTAATCTACATGTACAATGTCTAAATCTATAACTAGATCGATAAAACGAAAAAGCAATGAAGTCAGAGAACATCCCGTTGCCCTCTTGGTCTGTGCTGAGCTACAGGCGCGCCAGACCTTTTGCTGCGGCTTGGCCCAGTGGATCCCCCGAGATCGCAAGGATGGCATTCTGTCCATTCACAGTAGAGCTTGAAGCTAGACAAGACTGTCTGAAAAGCATGCAATGTAAAGAAAAGACTGTCGCAGCAGCAAAAAAGACCCGCTACGCTTGAAGTTCAAACAAATACTTTTGGTTGAGGTTTATCCCTTAGATACATCGATGAACATATTGGTGAAAGGGGGTGCAAGGGATTCTTGTGCCGCAGCAGTATCGTTTGGCAGTGGTAAAGTTGTTCTTCTGCTTGAGATCATCCAGGGTCGCTTCTTCATTAGTGTTAGCAAAGTCGCCGCGTCACAGACTTTATCTTAGTGATTGCTTGCACCTTTGGCAAGATATGGCTACGCAGGAACCGGTAAGATCTCCAAGTTGCTGAAAGAAATCCAAGCTCATTGGGTGGAAGAAGCTAAAAATGTCTTGACCCTCTTTTGCACTATACTTAATCAATTCTAGGTCTAGCAAGCGCGCACGTGATTGAATGCCCATCGAAGCGAGAAACCTTTTCCTCAGTCGCTGCTGGCCTATGACCAATCAATAACAAGCTCCATGTTGTGATGTTGTCAAGGTTTGTGGTTTGCTGTTTATAACGTCCATATTTATTCACAACACATCTGACCTTCCTAGCATTTTGCACTCCGTCAATGCCGCTCTAAGTCTAGTAGCTTTAGAGATCGGGTGGTCTGCCTCCTAGGATCCTTCTTGAATCCATCTATCTTTAGCAGTAGGTCAGCGTAACCATCAATCTTTGTTCTTCATCTTCTCCTGCAAAAGTGCACAACGAAATGGAGGGATCAATTTAAGACTTGTTTCATCCTCCATTGAGACAAGAGGCTCGTCCCAATCATTGTTGCGTGGAAAGGCTCTCCACGACTCAAAAGAAAAAAAATCCGGTTCACCAAATCCGTATATACAGCAAAGCTGTTCAAGTCTAGAGTCTAGAACCGACAACTCCAAGCTACATGCTCATTCCTGTACTCCTGCATGATGATTGTGTGGAATGGATTCGAGGCGAGCCTTCTTCTTCTCCTTTTTCTCCTTTTTCCTGGCTGTGTTGGGATGCACGCCAGTGTGTCCAGTGCTCAAATCGATTCACGCATGGTTTTGTCCTGCGTTCTGATTCGCTTCTCAGTACTCCTCTGTAGCGCTCGCAGCCCCACGTTCGTGTCTGCCCCACCTTCGCTTCCGTTCCGCTTCATCCACGGCGGCTTCAGGAGCCTCATTGAAACACAAAGTCGGCATCACTGTCTCTGGTGGCTGCTCAAAGCATTGTGGGCCTCTTGACCAGCAACCCTGTTGACAGCTCTTTGAAACCACCGCAGGAGAGCTTCAGCTTGGGCACCAAACCTCTGGCTCCAGCTCACCAGGTTCAGTTGTGGTGGCTGGTGCGGGCTCAGAAGCTTCGACCTGGTACGGGTCCTACTCTGGTGATGCTTGATTAATTACGCAAGAACAAAACATGTTCTTCAAACATCCTCTCCAGTGGCTTCATTTCATGTGTCTTCGAGCAAAGACTCTCGGAGTTGCTTACAAACAGAGAAACGCTGAGTTTCCTCAAGAACTTCTTGGGAAGTATCGTGTGCGTGCCTCCTTTAGCTTCTTCTCCTTTTTCCTGACCAACATTCTGCAATTAAGAACTACACTACCCTGCATTTCTAGGATGGAGCTTGCCAAACAGAACCAATGGCCAGCAGCGGCAGCAGCGGCAGCAGCGGCAAATTGGCAAACAAGCTCCCTGGTTGGAGACAGCAAAGTCTCTGCTTGACTCCAATGTCCACAAATACTTGGCGAATACTGCCTTGTCCCAGCCCTGCATTTCTCGAGCCTGCGTTTCACCTCGGCCTCGGTGACACATTCGAAAACCATTGGAGAGGCTTTTCTGTATTGAAATTTAAATTCAGCTGCGGCAGCTGCGATGCAGCAGTGCTTCTATGATGCTGATAACATGCTTCTGACCGTCGAAGTATCAGTGCGCTCCCTGCCCGGCCTGGGGCTGTGGAGCTGCAGGCACCTATGATGTCGACAAGAAGGTGCCGAGGCAGCTGAGGTGTTTCATCCAGGCTGCATGACACGTTAGCATTATGGCAAGCATGAATGGCTTTAGCTAGGTGGGTGACCTTTTTGCTCTAGAATCCTGTGTTATTTCAATGTTCCAATGTTTTCAAACCAAGATGAATCGGCAATAATAAACTCAACCTTGGCCTTGATAAACACTGTTGATTAGCTCATGATGCAAGACATGTGCGAAGCATCACAGCATGTCTTGTAACATCGTTCTCTTGGGGAGCTAAACTCTGTGATGATATATCGCCGTCAGTCAGTGGCTACCACAAGTCTGAGTCTATATCCAATCCACATTCTTTTTGATATAGTATGGGTGTATGTGTGGATCTCTTTCATGAATTGGTGGATGGTTGTTGCCATTGGCCTTTGTCAGTTCCATCAGTATTTCAAATCACTGCGGTGCCCGCGGTCTCCGTTCCGAAACGACGCGAAGAATCGAGCTCTTTTCAATCCAGGTATACAAGCTTTTTAGATTTCAGCGGTGTAAAGGATCTGGAATCTACAAGGAATATATACATAACATGCAAGAGCTGTTTGTGCACTATGACTTGACATACTTTTGCTACATGCCCCAATCCCAAATCATGGGTTCCAATACATGATATGCGCACAAGCACCTGCTCTGTCTCGGCAGGTGCGGCCGTACCCGGCACAACCGCAGCAGTTGCAACAGGGGCAGTCTTGCGTTTCTTGCCAGACCTTGCAAGTGGAAGACCAATGATGCTGCTCCAATGCCTGCCTTGAAATGCTTTGAAGAGTATACTACGAGGGTTTCTCGAAATGCGATCCTCTCGCACATTCATAAATGATTCACAGCAGCCTTGATTGATCTGTGTTCAAAGTGAATACTATGTGAATCCAGTGTTTCGAGAGGTCTTGATGCTCAACACATCAAAGTGTAAAAGTGTAATGTTACTTAAGCTGAAGTTGGCCACATCTGGATCGCTCTGAATCCTCCAAAATGGTAAGGATGGGATTATATACATTATATATATATATACTGACCAAAACAAAGCGGAGATTATCAAAGCTCGTGGCTTTAGCTCTTCGATCTCCTGCCAGCAGGAAAAGTGTTGCAAGAATTTGCGAATTGACTCATTGACAGTGAAGGAGTGATTGAACCTCTCAAATGAGTGTGAAACGATTTTGACAAACAGGTGCAGTACTGAAGACTTTGCCTCTTCAAATGCCCAAATGTTCACAGGTTGAGGAGACAAAGCAGTATTTCCACCCATCCCAGCCAAATTCCCTCCAGCGAAAACCAACCCCCAGACCAGCCTTCTTGTGCCGCTCAACTTCGGCTCGGGTCCTTGGCGTGGTCAAAGCGCATGCAAAATCATATCGCCCCAGAAAGTTGTTATACAATAGCATTATATAAACAGGAAAAGATAAACGATAATGTCAGCTATAACCCTGCAGTGACACAATGACCTCCCCCACCTCCAAATAAGCTTTCCTGTTTTCATTTTCGGCCTGTTTCTACCTCTTGAAAGCGCCGAGACACTCCTTTAAGCTTTGACCCAAATCTGTGATCCTCAGTCGGGTCACTTCTACAAGCAGTTTATTGTCCCCTCAGCGGTCAGGGTCATGAGAAGATGTGTGGAATACGTCAAGCTTCAAGTCCTCTGTGAGAATTCAACACATGATTGCTAAAAGCCAGGTAACCAGGTACCAAGAAAGAAAGTGAGTCCACTCAAACAGCACCAGCGCCGCATGTCGAGTTGCTTTTTCTCCATTTTCTCATTTTCCGCATCCACCTGAGCATGTGTTATCCGCCAAGCAGGCCCCTGCGAACAATATGAAGCCCACGCACTGAACATGTCGATCCCAGTCATTCAGCTTCGAATCGTTGGGGATAAACTAGGCCATGATGGCCCGCGGCGCCTGCTCCGCATACTGATCAAGCTGAGCAATATGCTGACCTGATAAACACAAAGAATTCCGAGATCGGAGCCCGAGAGCCGAAACCGGATCCCAAGAGCCGCCCCGCTTGTGCCGTCTCCAGATGTCAAAAGCGGGCTGAGTCTGGCTCAGTGCAACTATTTTTGTGCCCCGGTAATTTTGTGTCTGGCTTTTTGCCACAATCGCTTCAATGGATACGAAGGGGATTCCAACACATCCTGAAATTTCCCCAGGAGGACCTTAGGCCCAAAGGTACAGTGTTACAGCACTGCATGCCTGAAAATCAGGTCAGACTTGACCACCCCTGCCATGAAGTCGTGCAAACTTCATAACAAAACCATGCAAGCATGAAACTACATGAAACAACCCCATCAATTTGATTCGACACGTGCGACGAATTAGGAGCTGCAATTCACGCATGAATACTTTGGCCCCTCAGCTTTCAGTGATTGGATCACTGATTTCTCTACATTCTCGGAGTCACTCCGCTTCAATGCACCCACATCCACCGTGAACTTGATGGCATCCGCAGCTGCCTTAGTCCTGAGGTAGTAGAGACCTGTCTTCAATCCCAACTCCCATCCGTGGAAATGCATTGACGAGAGCTTCGCAGTAGTAGCGTTCACCATATGAATGTTCAATGATTGAGATTGATCGATGTAAGCACCACGATCCGCCGCCATGTCCAAGATGCGTTTCTGCTTGATCTCCCAAACGGTCTTGTAGAGGTCCTTCAATTCCTGTGGAAGATCCAACTCCTGAACACTGCCGTTGTGGGCAATGAGCTTTGTTCGCATCTCCTCGTTCCAAAGGCCCCGAGAGATCAAGTCCTTCAACAAATGCCGATTCACCTGGACAAATTCTCCCGAAAGAACTCGGCGCACATAGAGATTCTGTGTGTAAGGCTCAAAGGACTCGGTGTTTCCCAAGATTTGTGCTGTGGAGGCCGTGGGCATCGGCGCCACCAGCAAAGAATTGCGCAAGCCATGTTGGGCGATCTTGGCTTTGAGCGCAGACCAATCCCAAAGTCCACTGCATGGCTGGCGATTCCAAAGGTCAAACTGCAAAAGGCCTTTGCTCGCAGGGCTTCCTGCATAAGTCTCATAGGGCCCATGCATTGCAGCAAGTTCACATGAGGCCTCGCAGGCCGCGAAGTAGATCGTCTCAAAGATGTCTTCGTTCAAGCGACGAGCCTCGTCACTCTCGAAGGGCAGCTTCATCATCAAGAAGACATCCGCCAAGCCCTGCACTCCCAGGCCAATGGGCCGGTGGCGCATGTTGGAGCGTCGAGCTTCTTCAAGTGGGTAGTAGTTTCGGTCGATGACCTTGTTGAGATTCTTGGTGACGACTTTGGTGACTTCCTTCAGCTTCTGAAAGTCATAGCCTTCTTCAGAGGCAAAACTGGGCAGGGCAATGGAAGCTAAGTTGCAAACGGCCACCTCATCTGGTGACGTGTACTCGATGATCTCGGTGCAGAGGTTGGAGCAATGGATAGTGCCCAGATTTTGTTGATTGGACTTCCGATTGGCATGATCCTGCATCCATGTCCATGTGAACAAACTGAAAACACATTCAGTTGCACCTCATCCCGCATTCCCCAGGCCCTAACCTCTCACATCACTATTAAGTTTCCCTAAAATCTAGAAACCAAATGAATGGTGCGAGCGCTTCTTCAAGGAAGCTCCCCCCACCGCCAGGGGGTGAAGGATCAAAAAAAATGATAGGGATCGAAAAATATTTTCTTAGGAGATCAACAAAAATAGTTAATTAGTTCACCAAACATTTTTTGTTGATGCTTATAATTGTTTTCTTGATGTGTTCTTTTTTGGATACCTCTCCCCCGCCGCCTTTAGGGTGGCCGGGGGAGCTTTCTTGAAGAAGCGTGAGCTATCCTGTGTCCTAAGTAGTAGCTACTTAAGCTACTAGCGACTCCCTAGCTACTAGCTACCTCTAGCTACTATCAACCTCTACCTCTACGGCCTACCCCCTAAGAAAGACTCCCTTCAACCAAAACAAGTCCTTGTAGAGCATGTAAGGAGTCCCCGTCTCCATCTGCGCTTCGATGATCCGGAAGAACAACTCCTGGGCCTTGACAATCTTCCGACCTTTGCCCTCAGCTTCCAGTCGGCAGTAGAGCTCCTCGAACTCTTCGCCCCACAAGTCCATCAAACCCTTTCCTGTCGTGTCATAGGCTTCATTTGGACAGAAGAGAGTCCAGTCAGCATTGTCCTTCACTCGCTTCATGAAGAGATCTGGAATCCAAAGAGCCAAGAAGAGGTCTCGAGCACGCTGCTCCTCCTTCATGCACTTGATAAAGCTTTACCATAGAGACACCTATGATAGCTACATGTCCATTAGCTCAAACACATCCTCTGGGACCCTTTCCTACAGTCCTACCATACGCCTTAATCCAAGAACAGAGAAGACAGGTCTTCGCATGTCTCCTTGCCATGGTTCTTGCGGAGCTCAATGAAATCATAGACATCCGGGTGCCAAGGCTCCAAGTACATCGCAAAGGAACCTTTGCGTTTGCCTCCGCCCTGATCCACGTAGCGTGCGGTCTCGTTGAAGTTCCGCAACATCGGCACGAGGCCATTGCTGTAGCCGTTGGTCCCGCGGATGTAGGACCCACTGGCCCGGACGTTGCTGATGGCAACACCAATACCCCCTGCGGACTTGGAAATCAAGGCACAGCGCTTCAAGGTGTCATAGATGCCCTCGATGCTGTCCTCCTTCATCGTCAACAAAAAGCATGACGACATCTGCGGTGTGGGGGTGCCTGCGTTGAACAGGGTTGGCGTGGCATGTGTAAAGAACTTGCGGGACATCAACTCATAGGTCTCAAGTGCGCCCTCCAAATCCCCACAGTGGACCTCACATGCACACCGCATGATCAAATGTTGCGGCCGCTCCACACTCTTTCCATCCACACGCAAGAGGTAGGATTTCTCCAAGGTCTTAAAGCCGAAGTAGTCATAGCCCAGATCGCGTTTGTAGTCAATGGCCTCGTCCAATCTCTGCGCGTTTGCCTTCACAAAGTCCCACACTTCGTCACCGAGCAAAGCAGCCGCCCTCCCCTGCTGATCAGTGTATCCATGCAAGATCTTGCAGGTCTCGAAGAAGGAGTCCGATGTATTCTTGTGCAAATTCGAGACTGCAATGCGAGCAGCTAAGATGGAGAAATCTGGATGCTTCTGAGACATGTAAGCACACCTGAGTTGAAATGCTATACTTCTAAATTTGACCTCAAAATACAAGACCTCGGACTTTGACTCAGGAAGACTTTACAGCCAAGCAACGTCTCAGCCGCTAGTGTGTCAATCTGTGCAGTGGCGATACCATTGTAGAAGCCTTCAATAACCTTCTTGGTGACAGGCACTGGGTCAACGTAGTTGGCATCCAAGCCTTCGCAAAGTGGTCGAAGACGCCGGGTGATCGCGTCAAACTTCACCTCCTGCTTGCTGCCATCACGCTTCACCACGTACATCTGCGCCATGAGTCCGAATTTCGAGAAAGCACCACCAGCACAATGATTGACGTGTTTCTCACTTTGCACCAAAATGGGCTTGAGCCACGACAAAGCGAAGGTGGCTTTTGCACATCACAAAAATAGAGCCTCTAAGCTTTAAACAGGTTGCCCAAAACGCCAGCAATCAAAATGTGGAGCCTTCGAGGGTATTCTCTCGCCAAATCTGCATGCAGCTTTCAATTTGTCTATATATTCTTCGAACGACGCAGCATGCTTCGTACGGCCCAGACGTAGTTGCACCCGCTTCTGGCGCTCAGCGCAGAGCTGGATACGGAGTACCTGCTGCTCACGGAAAGCAAACGATCTGAAACTGCCATTTGCACGTCCAAGACAGACCCTCCAGGGCAAAGCATCACGGGTGTTAACAAATATCTTGTTTTTTACCCAGGAGATCGCATGACGAAGTGTCAAGCTGTCTTAGCTGACCGCAATTCTTTAAGCCTTTGACAGGAAATAGATGCCCTTGTTCTTGGAAAGTGGAGCTCAAGCGCAAAGCATACAAACTTGAACAGAGTCAAGCCATCTCATCCGCTTGTCTTTCGCTCCTCTTTCAATCCCCACCTGCAGTTTCTCTTCACTCAGCTGTCGGGCAATCTCTGCATTTTCCTCTTGCAGGTGATTGCACTTGTCCCTGAGCTGTCGCAATTGAATGACTCGAGCAGCATCAATTCAACAAAAGTTGTGATATTGAATCTTCTGTACAATCCCAATAGTTCGACGACTCTTGTGTTATCAAACAGTAAATGCCAGACCAATGCGGACGCGTCCAATCGCGCAAGCAAGAAAAACCCGAAATGAGATCAGCCATTCTAAAATTTGAAGTGACACCTCAAAAAGCCTGATGATAAATGAAAAGGAATGCATGAAAAAGACACACATGATAAAAAGCATGATAGAAAGCATGTGTGTTTTGTCTTTCTATCAGTACAACTGTCGATTTACATTGCTTGTCTTAAATGGCAAGCACGAATCCCAAGAACTCTGTCAGGCCGCAGGAGCTTTTTGCCCTGGATCCCGTTCGGTTGAAACCTCAGTGCTGCACCAAGTTCGCTCAATCCATGTGAGGAGGAAGGTTCTCAAAGGGGAGGTACTCATGCCAAGAGATGTACCCTAGACCTCCAGTCGTACCTTCTGAGAAGGTGTTTCGGGTGGGTTTGGAGGGTCCAAATACCGAGGAGGTACTCGGAGGTGTAGCGGTATTTTTTGTTGGTTCTGAGACCTTATATTATAGAAGGCTGTTACCAGGTACACGGGAGTCGGACATGAAAAGGTATCATGTTCTAGTTTAACACATGGGACGGGCGTTTTTAAATGGGATGATGGGCTTTCTTCAGCTGTTCAACCTCTCTTGGTAGTTCAGCTGTTCAACCTCTCTTGGTAGGTTGCCATGCCCACCTTCAACCCCTAAAAACACTCCTGTTTGCCATACATGTCTCCATGAACTGTCATGGTAGTGTTGTGATGCACCTTTGGTGTCATCCGGAATCACGGGGCTTCAGACGAGGCCGTTGCTTCGACATCCAGGCCCCTGCATTTTCCAGATGCTGTTGGATTCCAATAAGATGTTGTTTGCTCATGTCCCACCTACTTGCACTCCGCACTGTCGACAAAGGACCTACCGCTTCGTTGCTTTGAATTGCATGAAAAACGGTAGTGACCATGGAGATGTCTGCATGAGTTCTCAAGCAAAGAGAGAGCTCTTTGCTGCACGAAAAACGGACACATCCAATCCACTAGCACCAAAAGTCTCGCTTGATCAAAAAGCCGCTCGACCTGGTTCACCGACTCCCCAAGCTCCAGGCTGCGCATTTTGGAGCTCCTCACGCACTTGCGCGATCTCCTGGTCCTGCCCAACCACCCCCTTCGATATGTGGAAACATACATGAGTCTTGCATGCAATCCACGCATGTCCATGCATCCCCAAGAGTGAGCGGTGCGATTTCGCCTTATAAAGAAAAGGAGTCCTTGTCTTGTCTTGAAGAGCCTTTAATGCCTACTACCGACTACTCAATATTTATTCAGAATGCTGCATGCTGCATGCTGCATTCCAAGAGAAGGTTCCAAAGAGGACCCAAAATAGCTACCAAGGCTCTGATCAATACCCAAATCGAATCGGCCAAGACATCAAACAACCAAACCCCTTCAGGAATAAGGAATATCGCAATACATGTGAGAGAGAGAGAGACAGAAACTACAGTGCTACAGTAAGTTGTTCTTCCCGATCAAGTAACAACCCACCAACACCGAAACTCTGCAAGGTATGGCCGACGTGACTACCCAAAACGCAAGGGAGTTTGAAATGACACCTGCAACGCAAGCAGAAGCAGGATGCGAAGCTTCTTTTGCGGAGCTCTCCGCCTTGATTCTCAGACGCTGTCGCATCAGGCCAATCTCCAGGTTCACAGTGGGGTCCACATAGGCACCCTTCAAGGAGTCCTGGAACCAAGCCAGGGAAACAGCCCAAACAAAGATTGGATTGTACTGGGAAATCATATGGAAAGGAGAACCTGGACAAGTACTGGAACTTTTTTCTTTATGTCCGTTGAACTCTTTATTCCAACTTAGCATGAGCAAATCCACTGGTATATATAAATCCATCAGCCACTTCAACTTCCAGTCCTTGCGACTAGCATCAAAAGCATGGAAGGCTTCAGCACATTCCTGTGCCCTAGAGAGGCTCTGTGGGCCGTTCGACTGCGTTTCAAAAAGAATATAGTGGTGTATAGCGTATATAGTTGTTACTACAGGTGAAATGATTCCCAGTGAAACGATTCCCAAGGAAGCTTCTAGTTACTAGTAGCTTCTTGTTACTATATAGTAGTAATGGCCTCCAACCTACTTGCGATGGCCTCCACCTAATAGCGTCCCCCAGCGGGATAGCTTTCACCAGGCAAAGCACAATTCTGACATCCATCCTTCTTCCATATCCTGCATCAACGGAAACCACCAAACCTTTTGCATGCTGATTCTGTGACTACTCGGGCAACCCTACAGCTTTCGCATCTCTCGCTCTCGCTGAGCCTCAGCTACAGAAGCAGCATATCGAGTTTGCAGAGTAATCGAAGCCCAAAATCAACCTTTTGCATTGGTAAGAACTAAAACTTCATCAAAAGAGAAGAGTGCCTGTAAAGAGGCGGCATGTCCTTTGCATGCAATCACAGGTAGGATTCCAAAAAGCACACATCATGAGCCAAGCCCTGTGAATGGCCAGACCTTTGATACAAAAAATCCAAACACGTTGTGCTCTAAGTCTGTTTCTTCAGCTGTCCAGACTGAGCCATGAACGAAACGGGACAAGAGCGCATATTCCCGGCGCTGGAACCTGTATGGGAAGGTCAAAACGTCATCTTGTCTCGTTACAAGTTCAAGAAATCACACGCATTCAAATACCTTTTCACTGGGCATTCGGCTCCATGATCTTCTCTTCCTCCTTCCATGTACTCAGCCGATCTTGACTCCACTGAAGCTCCTGACCCTCCACATTAATGTTAAAATCCTTCTAGGACCTACATCTGCAGCGATGCAATGTGCATAATGCCATGCAACTCAGGAATTTCTTAAGACTCTGCAGCCCTGAAAGTTCTTACACAAGTGCAGGGATAAAGTGCCCCAAGGTTGCCTACATGGAGCCAACACTCTGCTCGACCTATGCCAAGCTGCACAGGAACTCTGCTTACTTTGGATCTTCTTTGCCACCTAGAGCAACTGTAGACAAAACACGAAAACCCTTAGAACTGCTCAAGCCCATGTCCTGAGACATGGCGTGCTTTCGTTCTCAAGGATTGATTTTCGTCAGGAATAATTGTGAGTGCCTGTGAGGCCTAGCTGGCTATATGATGCCAAGCTGTACCATCATGGCCACATGGGCCAAATGGACTGCAAGATCGTGGGGATTGTATGGGCCCTGCTGACTAGTTCTGACAAACTGTGACTAAGCCCTGCAAAATCTATGAAGGGCTTCAGTGCATCTCCTGTCAAGGTTTTAGCTTTGTATAGGAATTGGTCCTTGTTCACGCTGTTGAGAAAAAACGGCAGAGGAGGGATGAACCACTCCACAAATGCATAAACAGGTGATCAATCAGATCAGATCTACATCTAGCCTGACTGGAGGTAACATTTGGGGCTCAAAGGCTTTCAGAGAAGCTGTTGATGACGAGATGCAACTTGCTCCATGCCGCAGCTGGCTCTGAGATGCAAAATGCTTCTTGTTGCTTGGCCTCCTTCCCTAAAAAGCAGATTTTGAACACGCTTCTGAACCTCTGCATAGTGGGCACGGCCCAGCGGGCAAGTGGTCTCAATGAGACTTGTCAAGAAGGTGACCAAAGTTACGTTCAAAAGACCCACCCGCTCGAAGGAACTGTATCAAGTTCACCTGACAAGTTTGCTTCCACGGAACTGAGGTCACGATCCATTCACTGCTCAGAGCACTGTCCCGCCGACTAAGAAACTCCGGCCTGTGCCCAGGTGGCATCATCCAGAATCCCGAAACTCCCAAACGTTTAGCCGAGGACGTCTTTGGGAATCTGTACACCAATGTTCTTCCAATTGTGCATAGTGCAATACCAATGCCTTGTTGCAATTCTCACCTAAGAACCAAGTGCAGAACCTCATAGATTGCAGAACTGAAAAGACTGAAAAGGAACCAAAAAACCTCTGAATCTGTACCCACTTGGGAAAGAGTTTTAGCAAAGCACTCATGCTGGTGTGTGGGTGGGAACGTGTGTGTGTGTGTGGTGGGGGAGGGGCCACTGAGGATCAAGCAGCTAGAAAGTCCATTAGTGAGCGATGACCCTACATTCCCGCGGATGCCTCCAGAGCAAACCTTGCACAAAAGGAAAGCTAGAGAGTGTTTCTCCAAATCTGGCCTCCAACAATGGGAACACTGGAGGGAATAAGTTCGATTTGAGAGCCCTTCAAACATTGAAGAACTCAGCTCAGCTTCAGACTCGCGTGCCCTTCAGTGGAACAGCAGCTGCCGGATCGTCGGCTTTGCCTACTTGGCCCGAGTTGTGGAATGCCAGATTGAATCTTGAAAACAGTGGCTAACCAGGATGTCAATTCGCTGCTCAGCCCACCGAGCCTGTTCCATGACTAGCTGCAAACGGGAATCGATGGTGTTGTCAATGGTAATGGCGCCCTTCTGGCAGGCCAAAACCTTCCAAAGAGAACCGACTGCCTCTTCCAGCGATGAGGCAGCGCTCAAGTGTGGGAGACACAGTTCACCATTCAATGATCCCAGCTCAAAGAACAAAATCGTCTGAAGGCACCACTAAGCTTGCATTGTGTCATCCGATGGCATGCGTGCACAAGCAAGGATCGTTTATGGTCTTTTTGAAGTGCCTGAAAAAGAAATCTATATATAAAGATGCAGCAGTCACTCTTTGTTCCACTTCGCAGCGGTTTTGTCGAATAAATAGGATAAAAACCAACACACAAACGGCCAGACAGATCTGATCCTGAACAATCCCTATTCAGGAAAACTGATTCCAGCTACCCGGCCACACCCTGGGTAGAGGACATCAATCTGTTCGTCTTGTCTTTAGTCGAGCCTAGCCTCCGAAACTTAGACGAGCATCGAACACAGACCCTGGCCGCCAAAAAAATTGAAAAGAGACTCTTTTCCCTTGCCCCTGGAGTGAATCTTCTTCTTCCTTCCACGCCCCCCAGCGCTTCCGCTAGGAGGCTCAAGTGTTGAAAAGTTCGGGCGCACTACAGAACTCCTGCAAACGGTGATGAATGGTTTGAGACGTGAATCGCTAGCAGGCAACCTCATTTGTGAGAGGACCGACAACCCCTCGTTGAGGTATAGTCTGGCACTTTTTTGTTGTGTGTGCCACCTACCCTGCATTAAAATTCTGTCCAGGTTTTGGTGCTTTTGGAACCAAAAGGTAGCACCCCCTCTTCTGAGGGAGTAGGGCCTAAAGCCCCACTCCTGGATTCCTAGTTCTTCAAGCCCTTGGTTAAATAAAGCCCTCCACCGAGGAGGTGAAGGGGTCAAGGGAGTGTCCGGCGAGGCAAGTGTCTTCCAACGCTTAAGAAAGCGAACCACTGGTTCAAAACCGAGAACTACGCTCTCAGCTCCGTGCCTCTTCCCACCTTTCGTGAGGCCTAGACTAATGAGACCTTGCGAAGCGCCAGGCCCAAACTCAATGTGTGAGGACAGCAACCCTAAAAAATTTCACCCGTGCGCAACATCGAGTAGAATCCAATGAGGAGCGACAAGGCGAAGGAGTTCCATCCATTAAAAAGCGCCCACCCACACATCGCGTGGACGATGTGTTCCGCCATGGGCGGGGCACGGTTTGGAATCTCGTTTGTTCGCCATGTTTTTAACAACCTCCATGCAGTAGGTAGGTTATTACGGAGCCCAGGTTGAAGGTCTTGCAACCCCGCAAGCGTGTCACATGCTAGGCCACGGCCTTCGCCCGTTGACCAGAGAACTTCAAGGTAATCACACACAATGGGATCTAACTTGGTCTTGTTGGTTGGCAGAGCCATGTTCTCTTTTTTGAGGAAGTCCAGGAACCTATCAATTGCCTTGTCGTAACGCCGCCTAGTTGCTGGTTGAACCGTCAATTGCCTCAAAGTACCCATACGCCTACGGATTGCTGCTCTCTCCTCTTGCGTCGAACCCTCCAACATTCGCTTATAGGCATTCCTAAAGCGCGTTCGAACCTTGCGCCCCCACCGACTCGGCTTGTCAGCAGGGTTGCTATCTGTGCGCACGTATCCCCAAAGGAATTGAGAGTTCGAACAGAGGAGGAGAGCGCTAATCCGGGCCATTGTGCTCCGCAATTTCCTAGAGCTCGTTCGGCCGCGCGTCATGGCGTGTAGGCAAACAAGTGAATCAGTCAAATGGATCATGCGACGATGGGTATGTCCTTGATGTTCAATGCGCCAGCGGATAGAGTTCAAGATGGCCCGCAGCTCCAACGAGTTGATGTGCTCTTTTCCATGAACCCAAGTCCAACCCGCAACAATCTTCCATTTCCAGAGTCTCGACGGTACAGAGGCACGCAACCGATGAAATCGAACAAGTTGTGTAGATGGTGTTGACAGTAGGATGTCTTCCCCTTTCAAACTAATCAAGTTCCCGAGCTTAAAGGCAAGGTTATAGGCCGACCCTTGAGTGGGCGGAGGGCGCCGCACCGGGAGGCGAACAAGACGACCCTGCAACAGATCACACCCCCCTGCTGGGCGGCATAGGTCCATGATCCTTTGCGGAGGGAGCTCCAGCGCAAGCCCCAAAGGGAACAGGAGCTGATTCAACAGCAATGCAATCGCCGGAACACACCATGTATTTCCTAACAAGGTTAACCGCGTGTCGTTGTAACCAGCCGACTTACGCTCACTCTTACCTGCACAGGCAGCTGTATAGTGGGCTGGGAATCCTAGCAAGACTTCACGCTCGATAGTACTTGGCACCCTCACGATGCCGTGTTTGTTTGAAAGGCCATGGACCCACTGATACTGGTAAGGTGGGAAGCGATGTTGGTCTTCCCTCCAACGTCTCAACTCATCCTCATCACACTGACCAATACCTGCGGGCTTTCTCCCCGGGGTAGCAGAAGGCCTTGACGTCGTGAACGTGGGGAACGACTGATTAGGTGCGTTCTTCCACCAGCCCGGTTCCAACATGTCATCCAAACCGACGGCAGCGCTCAACTTCCAGGAGGACACCTCCCCCGATGCGCACAGATCCGCCCCTGGACCTCCGGCAAGCTCCCAGGTGGTCCAGTACAGCCGCGGCCGATGACACCAAGTCAAAGAGCCGCCGTCAATCAGAACTGGCGCGCACCCAAACTCCTTGACGACGTCCTCGATAATCAGCTCTACATCATCATACTGCCACACCCCGGGGTAGTGTGCCTCCACCACCCTTTGCGCCGCTTTGTTGCGCTCAACCGAGATGTAGCCGCATACTGGCAAGTTCTGGAGGTCAACTGCGACCCGCAAGGCTCCGATGCCATCAAAGAGCCCGATGACCAACACCTGATGTTCGGCCAACGGTTGGGGAACTTCACCACGAACTCCTCCTTTTTCCACGATCGCTCCAATGGCTGACAGGCCAACCGAGCAACAAATGCCTCCGCCCGACGTTGACGCATCGCTGCAGGTTACCATGGGATCCATGTCCAAGCGGAAATTCATTCTCACAAGGGGCAGCATTCCCAGGAAGCGTAACAGCTCCGCGCGACACTCCCGTGGCAGAGGCCGATAAGTCGCCCCCGAAGCGTTGAAGCTCTCGATGAAGTTCCATACCGCGTTCAAAGCACTCAGCATTGGCCGCCTAAACATGGTAAAGTAAACGAGACCTCCACAAACAACTTGGAGCTGGCGTTGCGAAACCTTGACCTGCCCAACCAACTTCAGAGAAGTACTTAGCTAGCTTGGCCTCCTTCGGGTAGGCGAGCCCTTCAACACCGTCCACGGTTGCCCCCTGAAGTTCACACTTTCGTGACCTCTCCACTGACTTCTTCTCATTGCGTGGCACCTGCCAAACCTGGTACTCCTCACGCAAAGCGAGGACACCGGGAGCTGGCGTCCCTTCCAGCTCCACCATGCCTGTAGCTGACACCCTTTCCAACAGGTCGTAGTTGTCTAAGTAGACCCTCCAGGAGGGATTTGCGACGGTGAAAGGACGGTCTTTGCGAAGCTCCGCGGACACCTCAGCAACACCTTCACGTCGATCTCCCGACCATAGCACCAATCTGTCACCTTCATCGTATAGAAAAAACACTTCACATCTTCAGAACTAATGAGAAGGTTCTCGCCGGGTTGAATGAAGAAGGGGCTCATCATACCCCAAGACGGGAGCGTGTCGACGTCTCCTCCTAGGGGGTGACAGATATTGTTGAGTGGGATGAGATTCATGATGAGGCGGCAAATCTCGACCCCGCTAGCTAGGCGTCCAGTCGTCTTTAGTGACCCCAAAGAGCCCGTTCAGGAGTGGGCCACTCCCGGTCTGGAAAACCATGTCCTCTTCGATGAAACAGCCAACCCCTGACCTCACCAGGCCAGTGCAAAGTTCACCCCAAGCACTGTCTGCAACCATCAGCTTTGGTGCTCTAAGTGGCCCCCAGGAGTCACGTGGCTTGATGTGAGAGTCGAACGACAACACATACTCCCGACATCCCAACGAACACACGTCCTCGAGGGGAACAAGGCCTATCTCCAGAGGCAACGCCGGCTCGATGTTTTCCCATTTGATCCACCGAGCAGTCGACTCCGTTGACTACCAAGTTCAGGCTACAGAAACGCTCAACCTCCCTACGCATCAAATCCAGGCATTCCTGGTCCTTCTGACGCTTGTTGACCACCTTGGCAGTCTCAAACGAACCACCCCAAAGAGCATTCAGTGACACACACACGCACGCGATCCACGAAACACACTCATCACCTACGGGATTCCACAACTCTTTGAAAAACTTGATGGAGGTAGGTAGGGGAAAAATGTCGGTCTTTCCCCCACCCGTGTTCGAGCTGGCTGCGAAGTGGAAGAACCTCCATCAACCGTTGGACAAGAAGGGAACCCAAAGAACCAATCCTTGAACCCTCGATGCACTCACTCGGGCAGGGATTGGTGGAAAAACTTCGTCACAAGCGACACTCGACGTGAGTGCCTCATCAGCGGCGTCACCTTTCACCGCTGGAACAAGTAGGCGGTCACCTTGACCAGTCCAGCCAACCAGCGAGCGGCTTTGTGCTTCGCTCCCAGGGCACGGCCCCGTCAAAGTGATCCCTTCTCTACTCATAGGACGCTCCCGATCCCAGCAGCTGCCAACTGCACCATCCAAATGACAATGCATCTCTGCCATGTCGACCTCAGCCTCCATCAACGGCTCCCGATCCCAGGAGCCTACTTCGAAGCGCTCTCCTCTTTCTGCTTCCCCTTGTCTCCTTTGCTGCCCTTGCTCTTCCCCTTATCCTTGCGGTACTCCTGCTGCTGACCCTCCTTGCTTTTGCCTTTTCCCTTCCTGCCATCTTGAAGGGATGACAAATACCTCACCTTGCTGTCGTCGTACGCTTCTTTCTGCGCCCCCGACAGTTCTTCTCTTGCCGCTAGCGCTTGTGTCTCCTGCGGGGAGACTTCTATCCTCTGTGCCACCGACCAGTGGGAGCCGGTCAGAACCGCTTCTATGGATTTGATTCTCTGGCAGATGATGTCTGCCCCTTTCGATGCCGCTCCTTTGAGTAGAGCCCTGGACGTCCAGGGCCGCACAGAGCGTAATCAACTCCCTCTGAACAGGCCCCGACGCCTTCCTCTGTAACTGCTGCCTGTAGTACGCCATCGAAATTGCCTGGGGGGGGCCTCCTCGGTCGTCGCTCCCGATGGACTGCAGGAGGTTGGAGCGCATGCCCTTCAGAGCTTGGGAGGTGAGCACTCCCAGGAACAGCTCCGCAACACGTTGCAACTTGGTCTCCGGGTCGAAGAGGCCCAAATCGTTGATCTCCTCGCCCGGCGAGCTCTCCGAGGCCTCCGAACTGCGGGATGAACCACTGCTCTTGCCCCCTTGGGCCTTCTTGGCAACTCTCCTGGCGCGCCGAATGGCACGCTTGCGGATGCGCTCCTTGGAGTCTAACCCCGTGCGGTTTGACTGCCGCACCACGGGCATGGCGTCCATCCAGTTTGACCGAAGTTGAACTGCTGCCAGAACTGCTGTCCACCTTGGCGGCTGCCACTGCTTTCTTCTCCTTTGCCTCTGGCCTTCTCTCCCCGGTCGGGCCTGTCGGCTGCAGGGACCTCCCGGGCTTCTGCACGAGCTCGAACGTCCTTCAAGTCGTCCTCGGCCGCGTCCACTGCCACCAGGTTGTAGGTCCAACCGTCCTCCTCCTCTCGACTGCCCATGAGCCTCAACTTGCTCACGTGAACGAGGTCGTCTGCCACACGATCCACATTGCAGCTTGGGCTGCACCGATGAAGCCTCACCGGTTTCCCAACGTTGCCTGTCTGATGGCGGAGGAGCGTCTCGTTCGTAGCACCTGTCAAGCTCAGGGCAAGATGTACTTCCCCGGATTTGACGGTCAGCGTCTCCACGGCGCCTGCCACCTGACAGTCGGCTGTGTAGTAGGTCCCTTTGGTCACAACTACCTTCACGCCACGACCAAGTTCCTCCAAGGGCAGCTGGTGGAAGTCGATCTCCTCCTTCATCAACCAACGATCTCTCAACACAGGAGCGGGGCCTGCAGGGGGCGCTCCCGCTGGCCTCCTCAGCACGCCTCTCCTCATAACGCCCCGTAGAGCCGCCTTTGCTTTGGCTTTGGGACGAGCCTTCACTTTTGCCTTGGGTTTCGCTTTCGGTGCCATCGATCTCAACGACGACTATACCCGTAGTAGAATCCACGGAGTCGGTGTTGAACACCTTTTGTGCCTCGGGGGCGTCGATTGGGGCTGCGCCGTGGTGCACGGGGTCTTCGACCCTCTGGATTCCCTCGGTGTGAGGGTGGCGGATGGTCTGGCTCAACTGGTCCTGACCTGACTGGTGCCGGCGGGGGAGTTGGCAGGCGTGCCAACCGACTGGCTTTGGTTGATGCAGGCTTTGGGGCTGGAGCGCTGCTAGGAGCACCTGCTCCCGGATCAACAGGCGCCAACCCCGGTCCTGAGTCGAAGCCCGGATTGAAGCCAGGAGGATTGGCTTCTGCCCTCTCTCGTGCAAGGATTGAGGAAGCGATCTCAGCCAGATCCAGAAGAGCCCCAGCAGCTGTGCGAAGGATGGTCACCGCCTCCTCCTCCTCTTGGTCTCTCAACAAAAGCGACCCACAGAGCAACTCGCGGATACGCTTGTGGGTTCGGCAAGCCCGACACGGGTTGCCGGTGAACAACCCGCAAACAGTGCAAGTCATGCACCGAAGCTTAAGCCCAAACACTGCGGAACAGTTGGAGTGAAGTGCATCTTAAATTACGAGGGCGTAACTACATATATATATATCATTGCGATCCATATCCTGGAGCCTTAGCCTTCTTAGCCACACCGCCCTTCTGACCCCTGAGCTGCGGCACTACACCGCCGAGGCATGAGGGCACCGAAGCATCGCCGTTCGGCGCCGGGGGGAGCTGCACCGTCTGCCCATCCAAAATGCTCGATGCAAACGACAGCTTGTAGTAACAAGTGCCACGCTAGTAGTAACAGGTGCCTTACTAGTAGTAACAAGGACGCTACTAGGAACAAGTGCCACGCTACTAGTAACAAGTGCCTTACTATACTGCGTCCTTGTTCCTAGTAGTAGGAGCAAGAAGCTCCTAGTAGCGATGCCCTTTGCTCCTAGTAGCGTCCTGGTTCCTAGGAGCGTCGCGGCATACTTGGCTTGTTAATTGAACCAAAAGCATCAAAAGAATTCGAGTGCTGGTTTAGTGAAAATAACACGTGCTCTGTTCGTAAGCCATTTTGGCTTTGGCCTTTCGTGGTTGATTGTCGATTGATGAAAGAATTGGCTCGTTGAACCCGTGCACACAGAATAAAAGTACAATACAGTATACCTCATTTCCTCAATGTACAGGACACATACTCCCTTACACTCTAATTACAGTCCTTTCGACACTTTGGTCCTCCCACCTGATCCAAAGTCAACTTGCAGCTCTTTGACGCTCCAGTCGAGTCCTTGATGACCTGCCGACAACCGTTGGTGGCAGAAGCCAGGGGAACTGTCTCTTCCAAACTCACGATCTTGAAAGCTTGGATTGACAGTCGCATTCTCGGAACATCATGTTGGTTGTCTAGTGGGATTATATGTCTCGGAATGTCACGAAGATTCAAGAAAGGTCGAGCAAGCCTGACCTGCTGCAAAAGCAAACCCTCTGGCTTCCAGGTACGATGAAAACTTGAGGAAGTGGTACTGGTGTTCAATTTCACTTCTCTGCAGTATCTGTGAGAAATACATCCGCCACAACGACGACTCCCAACTCTGCCTGGGTGTATTCTCTCACTGCATCATTGATGCACTCAGAAACCAGTGCCTCAGAAACCAGAAATCACTGGAACTCAGAGACCAGTCTGGAAGTCCCTTTCTTGGTTTTCTGGTTGCCAACCCCAATCCCATCGAGCAACATGGTGACCTCCAGCTTGTCGGCTCACTGGGGTGGACAATGTCGAGAACTCAGACCCAAGCTGAGAGGTTCTCTAGCTGGTCCTCTTGTACCAATGTATCGAGCTGCCATTCTTCAAATTGACAGGGGAATTGCGTAATGAATTATCGTAATTATTCAGCGCGCTTCCTCCAAGCCTGCGTCCTTGGTAAGTCTGGAAATGTCTGGATTGCTGGCTGCGTCTGACTGCATCTTGTTGAAATTGTCTGATCACTGGATCTTAAGCAGGCATCGTTTTCTCTACCATCATGGGTCATGTCTACTCGTGACTCCACGCGAGCTTGGGTGGAAGTTCAACCATTTGTTGAATATGAACTTCCATGGTCCAAAGTGCTTTCTGACCCTAAGTGTTTTGTCACAGACTGTCATTCATGACCACAATGAAGAGTAAAGAGTAGACAATAGGGTTTGGCCAGCTGCGAAAGCAGCCCTGCATTTCTTTAATTTTTGAACACCTCAAAATCAAACCAAGCAAAGTTGTTGCAAATGTAGACATGGCCGTTCTCTTCGTCGCCTGAGGCCTGCACCTCATCACATTTCCGACATCGAACCTCGACGCTGTCCTGTGGAAAGCGAAAGCTGAGAAGGGAACAGCCCTTCCAGGAAACTCACCAACACGCCTTTTCTATTTCTTGCCGTGGCCTGCCCCCGCACTACTTAGTTAAGTAGGCGCGTACTAAATTAAGCAAGGAGGTGAGCTACTAGTACCCGGACGCGGGATAGCTCCCGCTTCTTCAAGGAAGCTCCCCCCACGAGGGCACGGGGAGCTTCCTTGAAGAAACGCTGCACATATGAAGAACCTAACTCTGAACAAAGATTGACCGTTTGGTATCTTGCTGCGCCATGCCAATGCAAGTCTGGGATAACCAAGTAAATGGTCTAAGAATCAATTTGGCTCTACACAGATTGCTTGTCTCGAAGCTGATAAAACAAGACTTTCAACTTATTTTTGGCATGCTACGATTGGCTACGATTCATCTCTTGTCAGCAGGTCCCAAACTGGCCTCCAGAAGCATCAGCAAGCCCTGCACAATGAGCTTGGTGATAAACTTTTTCTGTGCTGCCTCCGGCTTTGATGCTTCATTCGGCTGGTTGTCCAAAATGGTCGCCACTTTATCAAGTCAAGCCGTCGTTGCCACCGCATCAGGCTAAATACAAAAGGAGAGTAGCAGAGATAGACCTGTTGAGATTCTGGAACGATTTGGCTGTTTGAGGGCTTGGAACTTCATACTCCGGGCCCCAATACAACACCAAGGGTGGCGGGTGTCCAAAAAAGCTATGGAGGGCGCAACAGCACCCTTCCGGGCGACCCAGGTAAGGAAAAAAGAATACCAAAGAAGTGGAACCGCCATCCATGCAAAACCAAACAAATCGATCACTACAAGCTGATGACCGTACCCTATTCCACGGCTCTGCTTGGTAGCCAATTTGTGGAGAATCAACTCTGGGTCAAAAGTCAGCAAGTATCATAATGTACAACAAAATTGCATCAAGTTGTCGCAAATGTTCAACTATCACAGGACTAGGACTAGTTTGACTTAAACGCATGCAAACATGCAAGAATGCTGAACGTTAGCAACAAGTCTCAAAGCTTCATTAACAAATGCAGCATTTGTTGAAGACTTGTGCTACTCCGACGACCTGCCTTGTCTTGAAGCTGACTGGCCAGCTCTTTCTGGGAGTCTTCCTGCAGCTTTCCCAGCATCTCCTGATGACTTTAGATTCAGCCAGTGCAAGTGCTGTGTTTCAAAGAAATAGTACATCTTTATGAGTACATCTTTATGAGTACATCTTTATGAGTCATCAACCTCTAACCCGTCCTGTCGACTTTTGATCTTTTCCAGTCTTGACCTTTCAGCAGCCATGCAACAGCCATTCGTCAGGTCAAGCTTGCCATGTTTCTTGTCATGCAGCTTGCCTCAAACTGTCTATTTCGCAATTCCATCCATTCGGACAAGTTGCCTGTTAATGGCCGTGGATCTTTCAATCGCAGCCTCGACCATAGTCGCAATCATATTGAGAATTAAAGCAAGTGCCATTCAAACTGCATGTCACAGCAGCGTCTGGGATGACATGTCAATATGTACAACACACCTCAGAAACGACCGGCGTCCAATTGTGGTCTGGTTGGCGACGCGAGTTGCAATCCATGTGGGCCTGGGTCTCAATCTGCTTTGTTTTCCGCGCATACTCCTCCGCTGCTGAGAGACTTAACAAAAAAAACAAAGAAACAAACAAGATCAACATGTTTACTCCGACGTTGTTTGATATCTAGAAGCAACCATGTTATGTCAGCATTTCATGATCCTGCTGCACCTACGTCTGCACATCATTGATTCAGTCCTGCTGAATCTTCTCCTTCATGGAATTCACGATCTTCAATCGTTCGATGCTCTCTTCCTTCACAGAGTGGCAAAGTTCTTTCGCAGGACACATGTGGTTGTGACTCATTCCAAAAATGCAAGAACCTTGAATCCTTCACATATGCCTTTTTTGAGTTCACCTCAAATTCAAGGTGTTTCCGGTGCGTCCAAAAAAATATCCAACCTGCAACGCCTTCGTGTCGATTTCTTCCGCCTTATCTCTGGCCTCAGAAATTCAAACACTGGCAACACCATTTTTGTTCGCAACAAATGATCATCTTGTTTGGAAAGTTGTTGTCGTTGTTTGTTGGGGCGGTTGAACCAAGTTCTTGATATGCGTCATCAACTTGGTGCAGCAATCATGTTGCCTTTCAAAAGAATCATGTTGTTCACAGATTTTGTCAAAAACAAGTTCGCTCAAAATAATGCAAATTACGTAAAACCACACTCCACTTGGAGACATACTTCCTCTCAAGGCTCAAACTTCATTCAGAATGAATTGCGTCATCTGCAAAATCTGTGCCTGCGTCTCCTGGCAGTTGAGGCAACAATCAGGTCAGTCAAATTTGTTCGAACCTGTTGGAACGTGCTTTCAACTGCAGTTTCACTTCTTGTCAGTTGCTTGACAGTTGCTCACGGGTCTTGAACAGAGTCCTTGGAAGATGCATCCATTTGGCCAACCCCAGTTTGGCCAACAAACAAAAATGAAACTTTGAACCCAACAGCTCACGGAAGTGGAGTGCGCCTTGAGTTTGCATCTAAGCTCTGGGACCCCGTGATTTGTTGCATTGCCGAAGTTTCAAGCCCAAAGTTGTAGAACGGTTTTACAATATGTTAACACGCTGAGTCTGAGTATATAAATGGCTCTATCCTCGCCTCAACGTTTTTATTGCCTAGACACCGAAGCAAAAAGATACACCTTATTGAGGCAGGGACAGGCGGGAAAAATACACTCAACCAGGGTCAGGTCACGTGAAATGGTCCATGAGTCTATGAATCTATGATCGAAAGCCTGTGCGAATGCTGAAAAGACCTAAGCAAAACTGAAACTGGCACAAAATACAGGTCCCGCCTCACCCACCTTTATGCCAACGTCTGCGAAAATCAGACGTCAGCGGCAAAGCACGCATGTGAAGGCCCTCTGCTTTCCACAAGTTCAGCCACTAGTCACTGCAAGTTCAAGTCTGTACGTGTTTGGAGTGAAATGTTCAACACCCCACCTCGACTTGGCGTTGTCTTTCTTCAGCGCCAAGTCGCTACATTCCATGTCGAGTGTACTCTGTGACGCGCTCAGTCCAACTACCTTCCCAGCTACCGTTCACTACCACATCTACGAACATTTGGTAGCCATGGTGGTCCTCGTTATTCCACGAGAGCACGTGGTCGAACACCATGTACTGGTAACGTGGTCGGAAAGTCGTGCCCTCGCAAAATCCTTCAAGATGTCAATCCTGAAAACTCCATACGAGGCTCTGGGCCCTCGTCTCTTCATGCACCTTCAGGTACCTGCACATGTGGCCCCACCAATCTGCATGTTGTGGTGGAACTTCTCCCTTGTTGCCACATCTTCAATATTCTCTGCCGTGATCCTTTCTTCGTCTGCGGGCTTCAATGCTGCATTTTGTTCAGCCATGCTCACATCTGAGTCCGAATCTCTCACAAAAAATCGTGTTTTTCGGACACGCTGTCTCGAGCCACTTGTTGGCAGGTTTGAACTGATAAGAACAGATACTACACATCTGAACGGGACCATCACGCTATCTTTCGTCATCCCGCCTTAAGAACATCCAGTTTCATGGGTGTTCCTACCATCGGCTCTTTGAAGCATCAAGTGGCTTTGCTCTCAGTCCTGCAACTCATCCTCGCCATCACACAAATTCCGAATTCGACCATTTTGGCCATTAGTGTTTTCACCCTCTTGCACATCTTCGTTCTCTTCATTCTCGCTCTCTGCGTTCATTGGGTCATAGTTCATCTCGGCCCACAAATCTGGGTCTTTGCTGGCCCGTTCAGGCCCACTCGTTCCATCGAGTCCTCACTGACCTCACCTTCTTCTTCTGCTTCTCCATCGCTCAAAGCGGTTCCACCTCCTGGACTTGTCTCATTGTCTGTGAAATGGTCCAAGCTCATGCCACTCTCAACTCACTTGTTGAAGCTGAAGCTGATCACTGCGGCACTGTACGCCTTTAGATCTGGCAAACCATGAAGCGACAAAAGGTACTGCAAATACATTAAAGTGTTTCTTGCAGCTCTGATGTCTCTCCTCAGCTGGATCTCTCACGCTCCCAAGTCCCTGATGTGCTTTTTGAGGTGCCTGCAAACCAAACTCAAAGAAACCTCTGGCCCACAGCCTTCTTGGATCTATGCTCCTAACTGCGCTGGAAGGGTGAGGAGGTTTATGGCTGTTTGGTCGAACCCGAACATGTTGCTTCCCGCTTTGGTTCAAGCACTCCAAACATGCGGAGAGCGGGGGCAAGCAGAAACCATTTCAGCTTCATGTCATTGCTTCTAGATTGCTTCTGAGCTTCGCTCAGTTCAAATTTTTGGCATTCCTTTCAGATACTACTTAAACTTCATGGCATCGCTTTCCAGGTCACTAGTCCACAGACACGTTCGCTTCACCAGCATTTCTGTGGAGCGTCCATGTTGGCATCCATCACCGGCGATGGTTTTTTCCAGGCCTCAGTGCATCTTGCAGGGATCTCGTAGGCCATCACAACCGCCATTGCCGACATCACCTGTCCCCAAAAACAGCACTCCAATTTTTTTTGCACGGGTGGAGACGCCATATGTACAGAGAATGCACAGGTCATCTTGTGCTACTTGGAGGAGAGTCACCGGCCAAGCCGAAACAACCAAACAAAGCAAACACCCAACACCCAAAACAAACAAACAACACAGGGCCGGGGCTTGGCAAAAGGCGACTCGTCGTTTCATGCAGGTGTGAAACAAATTTGAGAAGAGGTGAAACAGGAGGGCCATCGAATTACGCAAAACGGACTCTCAGTACTCAGTGTGCATGTCTCGGTATTCAAAGTTCAGGCTGCAGGCATTCGAAGTGTTACGAAGCACCGTGTTGCCTTTGCAGTTCCTTTTGCACTTGGTACTGTGCCTAAAGATCCAGGCATCGTCACAATGGATGCCTCATTGCTGAAGAGGCTTGGGCGACCAACCTGCAGGTTCATCTCTTGCACGTGCAAAATCGGCAGGCATGGTTTGGAAAGCCACAGCAGGTGGGAGCCCAGTTGCTCCAACTTACAGCTCCTGGCCTCCCTTCCAATGCTAGGATTCCTTCGACATGTGACACAACCAGCCCCGGTTCACTTTGCTGTCAATGGATTCAGTGCAGGGAGTTATACTGGTGCAGTGATTGCCTTAGCAGATCGTTGCCTATGGCCACATTGTCAAGTTACAGCACGGCTAGGTGCCATTGCTATGCCAAAGGGGGTCCTTGCTGCGCTTGTAGCCACGGCCGATCCGCATCGACACCTAGTTCATGCTGCAGAGGACTCCCTGTGTGATTGGAAACCTGGTGATAAGGAGCTCAGGATGCTGCAGCAAACCCTTCACATTACATATGTGGAGGAATCTGCGCGATGGATGGGTAGCTGTAAGCATAACTACTGGCACTGGCTGCATTGTCAGTTACCTCAAGGGCGTGTCCGCCTCACTGACTTAAAGCTCAGCCACCCGGAGGTCATCCCCAACAGAGACAGAATGGCTGCACCCATGAGACTTGCCTCGTGGATCCGATGCGAGACCCTCATGGCAAGCGCCGACTGGGAGGGAGCGATAGGCATGCTTGTCTCCAACATCAGTCAGATCAGGAGCTTCTTCGTCTCCTCCAGTTGTGCGTAACGGGGCAAACAATCGAGTCTATGGAAGAGGCGCAGGCCCTGTTGCTGAGAAATTTCAGAGTAGGCAAAGACAACAACAGTGAATGTGCCAAATGGCTCACTGAAATGGCCAAAGACATGCTGGCGCCTATCCCCTTCAGAGAAGTTTTTGTCATCCTAGCTCTCTTCCTCCCACAGCTAACTTTCCTGGAAGGAACTCGAGCGCAGCAGAACCTGTGGGCGAGCCCTGTTGCAGCAGTATTTGCCTCTGCTTCTTCACGACCCACTGGTCGGATCTCGTATCTTTTCAGCTTTCTCTTTGAATTCAATCAAGGTGACTTGTGCCTCTCGGCACACATAACGCCCGTACCCGTGCAAAAAAAAACACGACCCACTGGTCGGATGAAATATTGCTGATGGCTCGGCTGCAAGTCAAAGGTGGTGAGCAGTTTCGTGATAGCTCTGCCTGCACGATTTTCTTTGCGCACAACAGCAATTTTAAGCTGGGTGGTGAGAGCAAGCCATGCAAGCAGGAACGTGAGAGAACGAGTCTTGCCTGCTCCGAAAACCCCCGCCACCGCAAGTGTGGACCTTTCTGAGCGCAGCGCCAGTGCCAGACTGGAGGCTAGTGAGGCAATGTGGCCATTGTGCGGGCTGCCGTGCTGAGTGCCTTGGCGAAGTTGGCCGCCTGCGGACAATACGTGAGCGTATCACCCGTGCCAGCAGCGTGAACAAGGCATGCAAGTTCTGCAGCATGGCCCGTGCGCACTCGATAGCTTACGATAGGTTTTCTGTAGCGCACTTCCAAAATGGGACGTGGCAACCGCGCCTGCTGGTCGGAACCAGGTGCGCCCTAGTGGCACTCGGCTGACAGTCTCTGTGGCCTGTTCAATGTCCTCTTGGCTGAAGCCTTGGCAGTGATGGAGCAATTTGCTGAACACACCTGGATCGCAGCGCAAGAGTTCTGTGGGCTCTCTGGTCTTCTGCTACTCCTCCGGTGTTTGGCGTCACCTAGAATGGCTCGGAAGAAGGGCTGTCTGGGGACAGCCGGAGCAATCGCAGACTTGAGGTCCATGTCCTGTTGGGCCTCTTCACTGATCAGGAAGTCCACATCATTCTCCATGTGCGCATTGAGCGCGGAGTGGCTTTGCCCCTTCCCCAGACTAAGTCCGTCATTGTCACCGACTGCGCTGCCAGAGATGCGTGAGGCTGCCTGACGCTGGCAGCGAGGCCTCCAAGTTGACATTACACCCACTGTAGCTGGCCTCAAAGGAATGCATGAGTACCACATCTCCTTTCCCACGTGGTCCACTGTTGCCGCCTTCTGCGAAGCTCATTGCCAGCACCTCACCTTTGATCAGTTGTCTGGCAAAAACTCAAATGAGGTCCACATGGGCTGTCAAGTCGGCAAGGTTTATTCGACTCGTCCTGCAGGAAGGGGAAAGGGTTCATGCGGTACTGGCCATCCTACTTGCCTTTACCACGCAAGCCAGAAAGAAGTCTAGCCAAAAAGGAGAAGAGTCGCCTTATGACCGAGTCCGCAGGCTAAGCAGTCCCAGATCATGGGATGTGGCCCTTGTTCCCCCAGGTGACTTCGCGCCCCTGCCCACCCGGACAGAGACGGGCCTGGCATGCAACGTTGGCTGGGCATTTCCCCCAAGCCTATAAAGTCTTGGAGTCAAGGCCCATCAATTTTCGACTTGTTGCCTCAGCGGAAGTTGGGGACACAGTCACTGCGGATCATCTTATCCAAATGGCCACGCTGCCCGCCAAGCACAAGCCTTCCGCATTGGGCATTGCTGCCCGCTTGCCAACCCCGTGCCATCTAGAAAGTTGACCTGGATCTCTGAAGGGTTGTTGATGGACCTTGGCCATGCAGCCACGAACCCTG